AAAACCACTCTGACAAGTAGCATAGAATTATTTTTCGTTCTTACTCTACCAAATAGAACGTCAGAAATCTAGAGGTACATAAATCTTCCTTGCTATTTTTTGGAAGAGACAGTTCATATCCTTAGATACTATGATGTCTGCAAATGTGTATTTGAAATGAGGTTCAGATGCTCTTTGGAAGATGACAACGGGTGATGGTAGTTTACACTCATTCAGTATCAGTTTACTACTTGCACAACGAGAAACAGTGGCTGTGAGAAGAGATTTTCAAATTTTTGTGGCACCCATGAAAAGGAGAAGTATAAGAGTTTGGGATTTGTTCCCCAAGAGGCCTGGGAATTTAACTATCTACTTGTCTTTTATAACCTGCTGGTTTTATTATATATAGCATAGTTTGGTGTCTTTATATGAAATTACATTCCATTCTAAAAACTACATTTATTCAGCAGTAAATATTTATTTCTGACTGTGATGGGCCCGGCACTGTTCAGTGGTCTGTAGAAACAGCATGAACCAAGCAAAGTCCTTGTTCTCATGGTGCTTACCTTCTGGTTGGAGGAGATAGTTAATTAACAAGTAGATAAGAATATCCTATTGAGATCAATACTTTGCAGAGTTAATATAGGGTGCTTTTTTTTTAATATAGGGTGCTTTGATAGAGACTGGCTAGGTAATGACTTTTGATGAGGTGATCAGGGGAGACCTCTCAAAAGAGGTGACATTTAAGGTAGATTGAATGACAGGGAAAAGCTATGAAACAAGCATAAGAAGAGGAGGAAATAGACAGTCCAGTAGCTCTAAGGCAGATGTGAGCTATTTGATGTTAGAGGCATAGAAAGCCAAGGTGGTTAGGGAATAAAGAGTGAGAAGGGCAGTGAGACAGATGGGAGCCAGAGCACAGAGAGCGTTTTAAAGCACTGAGGGAAGTTAGATTTTATTGCGGTGGAAACCATCGAAGGTTTTTAAGCAAAGGGGTGGCATGATATGATTTATCTACGTAAAAGAACCTCTCTGGCTGCTGTGGGGAGAATAGATTATTGAGGGTAAATGTGAAAAGAGACCCATTAGGAGGCTATTATATAGTCATCCAGGCAAGAGATATGGTGGCTTGGACTGGGATGATGGAATGATGTGGATGAATGTGGACCAGTCATTTTTTCCTTGTCTTTCTCCTCTCTTATCTATCCCAAATGTAAAGGCACTTTACATTTGTACTTTCAGAATCCTTTCAAAGGTCTTTTTCTAATAATAACAATCTACTATTCTTTAGTCAGACATTGACACTCTTTTCATTAACTCATTTTTTTATCCATTCTCAATAATACAGTCTTGAACCAATTCTCCTATTTGCTTTACCACACTGGCCCATGGTAAAATTGTTGTAAAAGTGTTCTGAAAGAAATATGCTGCCATTTAGACTTCTGAGGTCTTACTGTAAGCTTCCAACATTATGCTCATTCAGTCATCATTGGAAGTATACAACTCGGTCATAAATAATTTGCTGGGCTCAACTCCATTTCTCTGTTCCATCAGTCTTCATTAAATCACTTGAGAATTTCCTACTATCTCATTACCAAAGACTTAACATTTTAAATAAAAGACATTTAAAACCCCCATGTTTTTTTCTTACACAGGATATAGTTAAGCTCTGTTCAAGTGAACATGAAATGTATATGTATGCCTGACAAGAGAGCACTTGCAATACCCAGGATCATGGCCCCATGAGATGAAACTGTAGTGACCATTTCAAGTATAAGCAAAGTACAACCAAGTCATGTCATCCATGAATTTTATGGTGTATTCAGTCAAAGAGACCTACATTAGCTCTTGTTCAACTTTTAATTAATTAGATTTTTCAGGATTAAATGGGATTTGTTACACTTGCTGACTCATACTATGGTTGCTTTGGAGAGGAGATTTGAAACTATTTATTCTTCAACTCTGGGTATTCTTTATATTTTCCAACTCTTTGCTAAAAACTTCCCTCTGTGCATCTATATTCCTCTTGAGTTCTCTGAACATCTTT